TGTTGGACTATAACCTGGTGTCATGTGACTTCTGACTTTGTCCACCTTGCTTGAAAATGAGAAATTTACACTATCAAGCTTATCAAAACATTTGAATTTGAATATTTATCATTAATAAGGGCTGTCATTATAACTTCACGAATGGACTGTCAGGGTGTTTGACTGATTAACCTTTGCACCGACAGAAGTGAATTAATCTAAAGTAAATTATTTTTATTTGGATTTTATTCCTAACCACTTAGCAGCTTCTCAGTATAAACTACAAGTTAGCAAGTACACTGTACATACACAAAGCAAAATCTAAATATAGACAGAATGAAGATAAGAACTCAACTATAAAACAAAATCATATTGCAGACATAGTTAATGTTATTGTTAGATTCCTCTGAAACGTAACTCATTTGAGCAGTTTCTTTTGCAATTAGATGCGTAGACAGAAATCAAATTCTTCATGAAAGATAATGTCCTCACCTTTTCTCCAAAATTGAGTTTCGTAAAGTTGAAAGTTTTCAGGCAAACATTTGATCTACATATTGAAGGTTCAATGTTGTCTTTGAAGAATTTCTCCAAATACATCCCAAAATATGGCCAGGCTTGCTTAACAATCTGCATAAAATAATGTTAAATTTTAGAAATGCAGACAGACTGGTATTGATACATGTGCATCATGAAACCCTGAACTCTCAAGTTTAATTCACTAAAAATGTACAGTTAGCATTTCTGATTAATCTATCCAACCAATAAAAAGCATCACTATAATTGATGTGTTCAGACAATCCATATTCTCTAAATTCTTACTTTACATTAAATGTGGTCAGAAGAGCTTCTTGCCCATTATTCAGACAAATTAGATATGCCAAATCAATGGTAAATATTGGTGTTCTGCCATGTTTTTTCCTTGGTGTACAGCTATCTTGGCTTAGGAGTTCAGAAATACCTCTATTTCTGTAAGCAGTAAGAGAATAGTCCAAGAAGCTTAAGACTTCATTGAGACATGGATGGAAAGTTCGTCTGACAAAAGGGGTGGAACAATGGCTCAGTGGTTAGCACACAGAACAGTGACCAGGTTTGATTCCACCTTCAAATGACTGTGTAGAGTTTGCGCATTCTCCCCGTGACTGTGTGGGTTTCCTCTTGGATATCCAGTTTCCTCTCACAGTCCAAAGATATGCAAGTTATGTGGATTGGCCATGCTAAATTGCCCATATAGTGTCCAGGGATGTGCAGGCTGGGTGGATTAGGCATGGAAAATGCAGGTTACAGGGATAGGGTAGAGGGTGGGATGCTCTCCGGAGGATCGGTGTGGACTTGATGAGTCGAATTGCCTGCTTCCACATTGTAAGGATTCTACGAAAAGCAGCAAGTAGATTGAGGCCAGGGAGTGGAAGGAGTTCGGACGAGGAATCTGTTTTCAAGAGGCAATGATCTTTGAGTTGGGAAAATAGACCTTCTTTATGTGACTTCAGCTGGGAAAGGCACAGAATGTTTCAATACAGGCTCATGTTGGGGGTGAGGTGGAAGTTTACATGCATATGCTGAAAATCTTGTTAGAGAACTAGTTGATTTTTTATTACTTTTGTTTTATTCTTTTATCAATTTTAGTTTGGAGCTATGAACTGACAGCTGAAATGACCTTTGAATTGTGGGCTTTAGCTTCTGTTAGAAAAAATAACAGAAAAAAAATAAGCAGAGGTTCGTTTGGGAGGCTATGTCTGGAAGTTAATTGCATGTCAGATCTTAATCAAATGGTGCTCCAGATGCTTCAACAGTGAGGAAGAATAGTATGTTTAATCAGATAGAAGATGTTTGGCATTAATGAGATCAGTACCAAGGAATTAGTGACAGAAAGTGTGAAGAGACTGTGTTGTGACTGGGATCTCATGGGAGGACAGTCTGGCAAGGAGAGGTCAGAGTTTTGAATTAGGTTTTAGACTGTTTTTTGGGAGGAGGATTTTGGCTGTTGGTGTGACATCATGAAGATCTGAAATCTCCCTGCCCCATAGAACGTAGAACATAAAACTGTACAGCACAGTACAGGCCCTTCGGCCCACTATGTTGTGCCAAACTTTTACCCTAAACCTACCTAACCTTCACCCCTACTTTATACTATCCTCCATATGCCTATCTAATAGCTGCTTAAGTGCCCCTAATGAGGCCGACTCCACTACCCTCTCCGGCAATGCATTCCACGCTCCAACCACTCTCCGAGTAAAGAACCTACCTCTGACGTCTCCCCTATATCTACCTCCACTCACTTTAAAACTATGTCCCCTCATAATAGCTACTTCCACCCTAGGAAAAAGTCTCTTGCTGTCCACTATCTATACCTCTGATCATTTTGTACACCTCTATCAAGTCACCTCTCATCCTTCGTCGTTCTAAAGAGAAAAGCCTTTCCTCGTAAGACCTTCCCTCCATTCCAGGCAACATCCTGGTAAATCTCCTCTGCACCTTTTCCAACACTTCCACATCTTTCCAGTAACGAGGCGACCAGAACCGGACACAATACTCCAGATGTGGCCGAACCAGCCTTTTGTATAGCTGGAGCATAACTTCACGGCTCTTGAACTCAATCCCTCTATTAATGAGAGCACACCATATACACCATACATCTTCTTAACAACTCTATCCACCTGGGTGGCAGCTTTCAGGGAACTGTGGACGTGAACCCAGGAGATCCCTCTGCTCCTTCACACTTTCTGTTAACCCTGTATTCTGCTTTCAAATTTATCCTTCCAAAATGAATCACCTCACACTTTTCAGGGTTAAACTCCATCTGCCACTTCTCAGCCCAGCTCTACATTCTATCAATCTCCCTTTGTAACCTAGAACTCCACCCACCTTTGTATCGTCCACAAACTTAATAATCCACCCTTCCAGTCCTACAACCGAATCATTTACAAAAATCCCAAATAGAAGAGGACCCCGAACAGATCCTTGTGATACACTACTTGTAACTGAGCGCCATGTTGAATACTTTCTGTCCACTACCACCCTTTGTCTTCTAAGGGTCAGCCAATTCTGAATCCAATCTGCCACACTTCCCCCATCCCATGTCTCCTTACTTTCTGCATGAGCCTACCATGGGGAACCTTATCAAACGCCTTACTTAAATCCATGTATATCACATCCACTGCTCTACTTTCATCCACGTGTTTGGTCACCTCTTCAAAGAATTCAATAAGGTTTTTGAGGCATGGTCTACCCCTCACAAATCCATGCTGACTATCACGAATCAAACTGTGCCTATCCAAGTAATCATAAATCCTATCTTGGAGATATTTCCAATAATTTGCCCACCACTGAAGAAAGACTAACTGGCCTGTAAATTTCTGGGGTTATCCCTATTCCTTTTTTTGAACAAGGCAATGACGTTTGCCTCTCTCCAATCTTCCAGAACTATACCAGTAGACAGTGAGGACAAAAAGATCATCGACAAAGGCCCTGCGATCTCTTCCCTCGCTTCCCATAGGATTTATCCAAGGATTCTATCAGGCCTGGGGAACTTAACTATCTGCAAGTTCCTCAAAATTCCTAGTACATCTTCCTTACTAACATCCACCTCCTCTAGCCTACCAGCCTGTTTCACACTGTCCTCCCCTACAACTAGGTCCCATTCAGTTGTGAATACCAAAGAAAAGTATTCATTAAGGACCTCTCCGATCTCTTTAGGCTCCGTACACAAATTCCCTTTACAATCCTTGATCGGCCCTACCCTTTCTCTGGTCATTCTCTTATTCCTCACGTACGTGTAAAAAGCCTTGGGGTTTTCCTTGATCCTGTCTGCCAAGGTTTCTCATGCCGCCTTATAGCTCTCCTAAGCCCTTTCATCATAAGCTATTGGAAGTTCAAAGATTAGAAATTAAGTTTTGGTATCAGTAACTTCCTCTGAGTGAGCTGTAAAGGTGCCTCTAATTGGCATCTTCGAAAAATCAACCAAGAAACAATCTATGCCTGTGGAAAAATGCATCATGAAAACCACTGAAGTAATCTGGCCAGTTCTGTTGTTTTTCTAAATTTATCTCTTCACTGTTTGTTTGTCGGCCTTCTATGTATATGGGCTGAAAACAAAGTCTATTGCATTTAAAATCAATTAGATTACTTTGTTGTTCAATTTTGCTGTGCTGAAATTACCATATTGATGTTAAAAACTGCTAAGTCTTTTGTTTAAGCTACAAAACCAGAGTCTAAAATTGATTATTCTCAGAGTTTGGGATTGGTTATTTGGAAGTCTGGTTAGGACCATTTGGGGTCAGTTTTTAGGGTCTTTCAAGGTTTTAAATTTTACTTTGTAGTGAATACAGAGGTAGACAGGCTAATGTTTTTTGGCTGTCTGTCTTCATGTCACAACAATCTTGAGACAGACCTAAACAGAAAAGTTAAGGAGTTCTTCTTATATATCATTTAACATAATGAAGAACTTTATATACAATTAATTATTTCTAAAATGCAACAACCATTGTAGGTAAAAACAGTGTGTATGGTAGACAGGATCCCAGAAATCAATTAGCCGAAATGTCTGTAACAATACAGAAAATGCCAGAGAAATTCAGGTGGTCTGGCGGCATTTGTGGGGAGGGGAAACAGAGTTAACGATTTAAGTCCAGTGTGATGCTTCCTCAGAATACAATCATACCTGTATCCTCATCTAGATAATAGAACCCTAACATGAATTCAAGCAGATTAAGTACTGTTATTGGTAATGTACAAAAAGGTGTGGTTTCTGCTGTAATATACCAGTAAATACATTTCAACAGGTCTGGAGGCAGAGTTTCTCCAGCATTTTTGATGTTTATTTCATATTTCCAACATCTGCTGTATTTTGCTTTTATAATACATTTACACCATGTGACCATAAAGATCTAGGCATGGTGTGGAGGTGCTAGTGTTGGACTGGGGGGGGACAAAGTCAGAAATCACACGACGCCAGGTTATAGTCTAATTGGTCTATTTAGAATCACAAGCTTTTGGAGCGCTGCTCCCTCAAAGCAGCACCACTCTGAAAGCCTGTGACTTCAAATAAACCTGTTGGACTGTAACCTGGTGTTGTGCAACCTAAGATTTAGGAGCGGAATTAGGCCATTTGGCCCATCAGGTCCGCACCACCATTCGGTCATGGCGGATGCGTTTCTCAACTCCATTCTCCCCATTATCTTTGGTCCCCTACTAATTAAAATCTACCTCTATCTTAAACACATTCCATGACTTGGCCTCCATTACAGGATGTGGTAATGAGTTCCACGGATTCATCGCCCGCTGACTGAAAACATCCCTTCTCATTTCATTTCTAAAAGGGTCATCTCTTCACTCCGAGGCTGTGCCCTTGCATCCCAGACTCTCCTCCTAGCAGAAACATCTTCTCGACATCCATTCTATTCAGGCCTCTCAGTTTCAATGAGATCTGCCTTGCATTCTTCTAAATACCACTAAGTACCTACCCAGTTTGACTGGGTTGGTTTATCTTACTGGGTGTAAAGATAGTAGAACCTTTCTCAGAACACTAGAAAACTCCCTGCTCTTCAAGTAGTTCTATGGAATTATTATATCCATCCAAACTACTGGGCCAGGCAGATGGAATTTCTATTTAACAAATTCAGTCCATCAGATAAAATGCAATTTCCAAAATTTTCCATGTATCAGTACAAATGAAACAGAATTAGGACAGGGGTACTAAAAAGTGAAGCACAGACTGAGCGCTAATTAAGTGGAGGATTTGATCCTAAAAAGTTATTCATGTTTTCCTGCAATAGATCTAAGTGTAATGTAAGCATGAGAGGTGAGGTACTTGGATCAAAGAGACTACAGTCCTGAGAAAAGGCACAGAAATTAAAAGACCTGACACGAGGGATATTATTCCCAACGTAAAACGGGAATGCAGAGTCTGTAAGACAATAATCTAAAAAAATGTAAAGATTGCTTGACACCAGCCTCAAAAACAGTCAATGCATAAAGCATGCAGATAAGGAGGAGCCAGTCATAAAGACAGAAGTGAAATAGTCAACTGAATTAGAGTATCAAGTTAAACAGCAATTGATGCAAAAAAAATTTAAAATGATTTATGTGCACATTGCAAAGCAATTAAGATGTTGCCAGAACATAGAAAATTAATTGATCACTGTTAACTTGCTAATGTTGCAATGTTCTTTTGCAGAAACAAAGGTATAAGAAGAGTAATGTTCAAAAAATATTTGATGGCACCATCATGCTCTCAGTTAAATCTGTCACCAACTCTAATACAGGACATTGCCTTAATGCTCTCCAGTGAAAAGTATTGTAGTCAGGTTTGCAGATAAAATGTTATTATCAAGAAACAGAGCAAGTTGTACAGAAAGGGAGCAGTTAGTTTCAAAAGGCAGGCTACAGCAGACAGAATTAAAATGTGGAGTGTGAGAGACTATTCACTTTGGATGCAAGATAAACAAATCAGAAGAATTTTTATTATTTATTAATGGGACTTGAACATAACTGGCTAGTTAAGCATTCATTATCCATCACTATTTCATCGAGAATTTGTTGGTGAGTTGCTCTTTTGAAACGCTGCAGTCTGTGTAGTAGAGGAATCTTCTCTGAGCTGCTGCGGAGGGAGTTCCACGATTTTGCCTCAGCAAAGTTGAAGAGAAGGCATTTTATTTACAAGTTAAAATTATTTAAGACTTCAGGGTTGGGGAACTAGATGAATGTGGCAATTTGGAAGTAGTGATGATCCTATTTCTGCTGTCCTTGTCCTTTTAGATGGTAGATGTTGTCAAAGAAGCCTTAGAGAATGCTGCACTTTATGTTTGATGATAATCTCTGTTCTGACTATGAGCAAGGGGTGGAAGGGAGTGATGGGGATAGTACTCAATGAGGAAAAAGAGGTGCTGTGAAAGAGTGGAGAGATTCAGATGTCCAAGTGTATAATTCGTTAAAAACTATTGCAGAGACACTAACATAAATGACTGAAAAGGCAACTGAATTTTGGCATTTTTCTTAATCAAAACTCAGAAAAAGGTACACTGGACTAGAAAACAGACCAATATGAATTCCGCAAGGTTAAATTATCAGTGAATTTTGCATATATGTGCAATTGTTTATTAGCTCGCTGATCCAGTTGTTCTGTGGTGTACTGATGTTTCATTCCCCTTTTAGGCAACATTATCAGTGCAACCTCTAGTTGAGGTGTTAGTGTTCGGCCTCCTTACAGATTTATGAGATCCTCTGGTGTGATGGTCTTGTCACTCTTGGTTCTGGTGTTTTAGCAGCGGTCTGTATACGGGGTCTACTTCTAGGCGTTTGTTAATGGAGTCCCGTGTTGAGAACCAGGCTTCCAGAAATTCCCTTACATGTCTGGTGTTCACTTATCCTAGTATGGTCACTTTGTCCCAGTCAAACTGATGTCTCAATACACACAAACAATGAGGGGCAAGTGAATATTGGTCATGTCTTTTTACGCCAGCTGGTGTTCATGTATCGTGGTCGTAAATTTCTTCTCTGTTTGTCCAATGTAATGTTGATTGCACTTGCTCTATGGTATTCTGTACATCACGTTGGTCTTGTTAACTGTAAGTATGGGCTCTTTAGTCTTTGATAACATTTGGCACAGTGTTGCTGTAGATTTGTGTGCAATCATGATCTTGTGTGGTCTTAGGAGTCTGGAAGCCTGGGACTCAACACGAGAATCCGTTAACACAGAAATATACCCCATATACAGGCCACTGTTAGAACAACAGAACCAGAAGCGACAAGACCATCACACCAGAGGATCATATAAATCCCAGTAGGAAGCAGAGCACCAAC